GTGTGTGTGTGTGTGGCCAGCTCAGCCTACCAGGGGGCGGGGCTGGTTGGCATGTGGTGCTGGGGGATTGAACTGCGGTCCCCGTGCTTTGCTAAGCTTGTTCTAAGCAGGTGCTTTAGACCACTGAGCCATCTCACCAGCCCTAAAGCAGATGCATATTGTGCTAAGCAACTAAATTTGTGGTAATACAGCAGAAAAAACTGTGCAAAAAATATACAGTTTTTAATGCCATCAATAGAGTGCCATTGTATTAAATACCTTAAAGACATGTTCTTAGAGCCAGGTGTCAGAGGAAGGCTAGAAGAATACTGAATCCAATAGAAAAAGCTTAAGTCAGGTTGATCATTTAGACTTTTAAGGATGATACTGGCAGGGGCTCTTTTTCTTTTTGAGGCAGGGTGTCATTATGTAGTTCATGCTGGCCTTGAACTCACTTTGGAGCCCAGGCTAGCCTCAAACTTGTAGCAATCCTCCTGCTTCAGCCTCCCGAGTGCTGGGGTTACAGGCATGCACCACCATGCCTGGAAGGGGCTCATTTCAGCCTCCGACTTAAATGGAGTTCCAACCTTTACTAGAGCTTGCCTCTGGTGTGTATGTTTTTTTGCCCAGGCACTTTGCCTTCCCAATGAACACTTGCTATATCCTACATGTTGAGTGAAGGCAGCTTGTAGGATTCAGGAACAAAACCCTCTTCACATACCTACCAGGATGGTAGAGAAGAAAGGGCTGCACAAAGGGACTAGTGACCCAAGAGATTACAAACTACCAAGAGGAATGTGAGGTTGATGTCACAGATTCAGGGCTATTAAAAGACTAGATTTAGCAAAAGGAAAGTCTCTTATATAAGGGGGAAAAGTTTTAAGAAGTAGAGTGTGGGACTATAAGGGCACATTTATAGAATAACGTACTTGTAGGCATATTATGGCAAGTTAGAAATCAGCTCATAGCCTGTGATTATGCTCATGCTGCCTGTCATATAGCTAGCTGTGTTCATTTAGCCTTGACTGTCTAGGCCCAGATATTCCCCATAACAATGTGTGGCGTCAAACTGACTGTGTCCAGCTTGTGTTTTAAAATATGCAGTGGGGCTGGTGAGATGGCTCAGTGGTCCAAAGCCACTACTTAGAACAAGTTTAGCAAAGCACAGGGACCACAGTTCGATCCCCCAGCACCACATGCCAGCCAGCCCCGCCCCCTGGTGGGCTGAGCTGGCCACACACACACACACACACAAACACACACACACAATAAATAA